CACATGGCACCCTGAGCTTGACCTCCATGACCTCATGTTCATTGTACAATGAACCCCTTGGGTGTAAAATAAGGCCATGTCCCACATCACAGCAGTCAACAAATTTGAAATGTACCGCACCATGGTCCTAGTTTTTATGCAGCGTGTGCAATGTGTTCCATTCACCAGCATGATGGAAAGCAATTCTTCGCAAAAGCTGTGCATGCATCCAGTGAACTTGACGATTCTCTGTTATCAAGCTTGCTTAAGGGAGCACCTTTGAGCAGAAGGCGCCCTTTTGGGCTAAAGGCCCTGTCACACCGTCTGTGATCAATGCGTTCTCACTGCGTCCTTGAAAAATGGCTGGGGCGCAACAATAACTACTAAGGTCGCCTGATGAGCGCCGGAGGGTCTTAATGGTCTCCGATGAGCGCCAAAGTTTTTGAACATGCTCAAAACAATTGCAACACCTCTGCGCTCTGGCTGGGCACCGTAATGACGCAACTCAGGCACTCTGCAAGCGTGGATCGTGTGACATTGACGTGGCATTGACGCAGCCTAGGAGCAAGGCAGTCGATGTAGTCTCCATGAGAAAGTAACTCGACTGCGATGAACTTGTCGAATCAATTTGAAACTGGACTGCGGATTGACCATTTTGTCGTGGTAGTTACATGTACATGTATACAGCGCAAGTGACGTCGCGTGAGCCTATTTTGGTCGGATAGAGAGCGCAACGCGAGCTACTACATGTAGGACGTATCAACAGCGAGCAGAGCGTACATGTACATGTACATGTAGTGTGAGCGCAGTGACAGCGCAGCGGCAGCGACTAGATCGAGTAATTGGGCTTGACAGGGGCGCATAGAGAGTGATTTGAGCGCATCGTAAGAGTGGGATGAGCGCAGTATGAGCGTAGCTTGAGCTACTTCCTGGCCACTTACATGTAATACAGAAAATCGCTGCGATTGTTAAATTTATTAAATATTTTTGGTCGCCGTAAGGTCTCCTATGAGAGCGCATATAATGTGACAGGCCTTTTACAAAACGATATTATAGTTGTTACAAAACAATAATAATTGGAACTGTCTTTAAAAAGTAAAACATTCATGTAAATGTTCACACAACTGTAAGGGTAAAAAATTTGATCCGAAAAAATCAAGCTGTCGGCATAATACTCGTCATTCCAGTCACGTTTCTTTAATTAAAAATAACAAAAGCTGCATTGAAATGCGTGTGTGCTACGAATGTCTTGTGTGTATAAGTCTGACAGTTTTGAATTTACATTTTCAATTATATGCCCATCTCCAGGAGAGAAATTTCCACAAACTAGGTTGAATCACACTGCTATGTTTGCAAATTATTGTACACTGGACCAAATGTGAAATATATTAGTACATGGAGCCCAATGACATTCTGAAATAAAAAAAAAAGTGTTGTCTTATTGTGTTCTTCATCTACACTTGAGGACCAGTTTTCTGTGTGTTGCTTAACGCTCCTATGCAAACATACATTCTGTGCTAAGTTGTATTTTCACTTCAGTCAACAACAATCAAGTGGCTGTATTCAATAGTTAAGAGCTCCCAGCCCACATAAAGCAGGATTGACTGGCTGTGATTGTTTATGTAACTTGATACAGCTTTGCTTTGACTGTAGGTGATTGATAAGACAGCTGTGCCTACCAGTTGCCTGCTTTTGTCGGCTGACTGAATTTGACTAGTCAGAGTGCTTGCTTGAAATACGATCTGACTGTTAGTGACTAGCCCGTGTAAAAGGCGCATGGCAGGGAAAGTGGATGGAATTTTTGACCGTCTGAGACCTTTCAAATAGTAGGCAAATAGTAGGAGGGTGGTTTAAAAAAAAACAGCAGTAAAAGATATCGTACTAACCCAGTGTTGACCCTATTAATTAACCCTAACCGCCCTGAATCCTTCAAAATCCTCTTTGCCAAAGTGGAGGAATTTGGAGGATTGAGGTTACATGGCAAAAGTGCGTTACTGATTTCATAAGATGCACTTTGTCGGGGTCTTGGACCGGACTTTGTGTTGATTTTGCTCAGCCGTGCATAAATATAGGCCTGGATTATGCTTGAAATCCTCCGCACTGCTCCAGGATGTCACTGGCCAAGCCTCAACATATTGACAGTCACTGCCGCAGGATTTTGCAGAATTCAGGCAGTGGTCACCCCTCCACGGACCATATTCAAGAAACAATGGAGGAATTTGCAGGATTGAGGTTATATGCTATTTTTCCATGATGCCAATTGGAGGATTTTGTAGGATTGAGGCTACATCCTAGCAAAAAGGCCTAGGGAGTTAGGGTTAAGTGTATTTATAGATGTACTGGTATGTGCTGATGTTTTGTTCATGAACAATCAATACGACAAATGCACCTGGTGTGATTTTATCACCACAGACATGACAGATGTTCACACATTTTATTTAATCATTAAGTCAAAACCTGGCTTGCTAATAACGTGAACATACGTCAGAAATAACGTTGGCTGCCAAAAACGAAACTTGCTTTCGTCGTGTGCTGCAAATGCAGGGACTGCCATTAACTTAAATAACTTCACACAGTTTTCAAGTTCTTCAGCAATGCACTTTTTGAACTTGGCAAATGTTGTGAACCTAGAGGCACGCTTACATGTACATCTACGTTGTTTGTTGGTTTAGCTTGATTAATTTAATTAAAAAGCCATCTGCACTGATACCGGTAGTTACATGTATATTACCATTGCAGGTGTCCATATTTATCGACAAAAAAATTAGTGGACTTCATCAACGGAGCAGACACCCAATGTCAATACTAAATTTCCTGATAAAAACAACTGGGCCTTTGCCTGATTCAATTTTTATATCAGACGTGCGAAGCACCCTGATATACTGTGATTGTCGCATTTCTTTATATCAGCCATGCGAAGCACGCTGATACAGGTACATGTACTGTGATCGTCCAATTTCTTTCTTTCTTCGGGCCAACGGTCACGTGACCAATGAAAAAAATGGCCATAACTCCTAAACTAGTTAGCCGATTTCAAACAAACTTAGTCAAATTAAACCTTGACACATGCCCTACACAAAAATGTACCTAGCCATGTTCGTAAAATCTGGCCAATGGTTATCCAATGGTCAGTAGTGGTCATTTAATGAGTATTTACAAAATGCTTCTTCTCCCACAGTCTTGACCCAATTAATGTAAAACTTGGTCAGTTACGGTACATGTATATCATTGGACCAAGCCTCACAAAAGTGTTCACAGAATTTGGCCAGTGGTCACCTATTGGCCAGTAGGGGTCATTTTATGAAAAAAATTAAAAAGCGGTTTTACATTTTAAATTTTTGAAGCCCTGTTCAGTGTATTTTTTTATCTCTAATTCTCAAATGTCATATTCCTGACTTATTTGGTTGTCGAGTTATTTCAAGTTTATCATTTTTTAAACTTACATAAAAACAATATAAAAACATAGGAATTCTGGGAAGGTTTCAAACCACCACCCACGATACTGTGGATGTTGTGTGGCATTCAAAAAGGATGTCATCCATGCGCACGGCCATGACAGGTAATTGCACGCACTGTGCTGCACTTCCCATAGACTTTGTACACAACCGCTGAAGTTGCGTCTTGATACTGCATTAATCTTTCGGTTTGTTTTAGCGGCAGTGCCACCTGCGTAAAGGTAGCCGCGTATTCAGCCAGATACTCTGCCGTGGATTAAAAAGTACGGAAGCCAATACTCAACGATATTGCTGTGATTACTTTTTGATGGTTTATGGGGATTAATCTACAGGCATTAACTACTGTTTCATGTATTGTCTTGGCGACTATTTCATGTAATGTTTCGGCGGGTTTAACGTCAAATGTTCATAGTTGTTTCTCTTACATTCTTTTGCCGATCTCAGCCACATGTAACAATGGTCACCCAGGCATGCAACTAGGAATTTAGGAAAAACGAGGAAACTCCAAACTACACAAGAATTTGTACAGTGTTTTTCAATTTGTAATGGCAGTCTTGAGAAGTGAAAAAAGAGGAAATCAGCTGATCCGAGGACAAGTTGCATGCCTGTCACCTTGTGGTCAGTGCAAGTAAGTATTCAGACAAACCGTTAAAATGGCAATTTAGGCTGATATCCATGCTTCGGGAAGCACATTAGCTCTAGTTTTGATGTTCTTATTTTGCTTCTAAAGCTTCAAAAAGTACTTTTTTAAAAGGTTGTTTTTGAAAAAATTTCTCCAGTTTTACCTGCATATATACAGTTTAGTTCCAGAAGATGTGTTCAAAAATCATGCTACAAAAGTGGAATTGAATGAAGGCTGTACTTTCACACTCCATACTCCAATGTAAATTGAATGACAAAAAGGTAAGTATTTGCGATGGAAAAGCTGATAGCATTTGAGAGAGGTTTCCTGGCATGAATTATGCAGAAAGACAGGGACTGAAAAAAGAGGTACATTTTTGATGGTTTTTAACACCACGTCTTGCAAAACAATGATGCAGAACAAGGCTAATAGAACAGAATAGACAGTGAAAAGTGATGTTTTGGAGTACATAATGACAAAATGAGACTGGGTTAATGTACATGTAAGATGAGACGTAATGACAGCAGGATCCGCAAAACAGTATTCATTAAAGTATGTTTGAAAGTTGTTCGGAAAATGTCAGGGGTTCCAAAACTAGTAAGATTTGCTACAACTGTTTTTTCTATCTTTGAATAGTATTAGAAATAATCAAGCTAATTAAACTGGGGATGTGGTGAGAGTGGTCGAAAACAATTTCCATCTTATGAATAGAAATAATCAAGTTTAGGTCAAGGATGACAATACATGTAAAACCAAAATTAAAAAACAAATAAAAAAGTTTGTTGTCAATTCAATGTTAGAAAACATGCACTACAACACTAACATTTCCTCAACATCGGTGGCATTCCAAATGAAACATTAACAAAGGCAAAAAAATTAAATTGGAAATCATTTTAAGTTTTTCTTGTTTTGTTTTGTTTTTTTGAGATTTTTTTCAAACTCACCGATTTATTGGTACAGCTACCGTGCCCCCAATTTTTATACCACCGCCAAAGTTTCCTCTGGTATGACCTGCATAAAAACAAAAAGAAACAACATTTTCTAACTTGCCAGTTAAAATTATAAAATTGGCTTGGACAGCTTGCCTCTTAACACAGGTTGATGGTCACAACAGAAAGTTTCAACCTGTTAGTGTAACCCTAACTCCCTGGGCATTTTGGCTAGGATGCAACTGTTTTTTTTTTTTTTTTATATGCATATTCGCCCTAAACAAGGCTAAAAGCCACTCTAGGTAAAGGGCTACAATTCTCTTAATCCTGCAAAATCCTCCAACTGCCTCCATGTAAAAATTGCATACAGCCACAATCCTCCAAAATCTTCCGTTATTTCTTGAATGTGGTCCTTGGAGGGCTGACCACTGCCGCAATCCTGCAAAATCCTCCAGCAATCACTGTCAAGATGTTGAGGCAGAGCCAGTGACATCCTGGAGCAGTGCGGAGGATTTCAGGCATAATTTATTTAATTAGGTCTAATTTAGGCCTAATTTATGCACGGCTGGGAATAAACAACACAAGGTCCGGCCTAAGACCTTGACACAGTGCATCCTCCAAAATCAGCCACACATTTGTTGCCATACAGCCTCAATACTGCAAAATCTAACATTTTGAGAAGAGGATTTTGGAGGATTTGGGAAGGTTAGGGTTAATAGTTAAGTTGCATCACCCATGCTTTTTAATTAATTCAATTGTTTTTTCTCTTAATAAATGTTCAACTTGTATGTTTTACTCCCAACTAAAAAACCTCCTATTTTAATTTTTTGGGCATCTCCTCTGAACAGGGGTTATATTTTGGCCATAAAACGGGGCCAATTTACGAGCAGACTGGTTCCAGGTTCATACTCTTATTAATATTACTGATTGTGGGGCGGGCACCAGCCTATCCCGATGGAATTACCAACAGGCCAAAAATATTTGAAAATTTGGAAAGTAATAATTCAATAGTTAAACATGAGTGGATATTTTGGTCGATGTTTCATTCAGAAGTGAACTTTTGTATGGCTTGAAAAATAGCAATTTAGAAATGAAAGTCGAAAAGAGCGCAGGAATCATCTTTAAAGATGATGAAAGCTTCTTTTACTTTTTTTTTTAAACAAAACTCAAAATTAGCAGCGAAACCTCAACATGACTTCAAAATTAATAGGGACAAAAATACTGAAACGCAAAATGAAAAATAATAAATAAATAAAAACAAAACTGGCATAATGAATTAGAAGAAGGTTGTTTCTTTTTCACATGTGCATGATGTGCGTGAACATGTATTTAAATATTAAAACAAGATTTTCCTGTTAAGCAAAAATGATGGTTAAACAAACAGTGGAGACAAAACAAATTCCCTAATTGAAAGAAAGGTTGCCCTTCAATTTCTCTATAAAGTATTGACATCACAGAATACATAAATTACTAGAGTGCTAACTCGCTGTACAAATGAAGCCTGCTTGGCTCATCCATATTTGTGCAAAAACCTTTGAAAAATTTAGTACGGCTTTAGTACGACTATCTGCATATCTGCGTTTGTATTTTAAACCAGTGCGTTATTGAAGCCGATACACCAAAAACCAAAATGCACAATTGGTAAATGACATTTCATTTTGCACTGCGCAAACTCAAACGCAAACTCAAACGCAAACGCATATAGGCGGCACTGCAGATTATTTTTATACTGGCGCATTGCAATTAGATTACATTATCTGACACTTACATGTATTATGTTCCACAAACACGCACATTGGCTGATTTTATGGAATAAACAGGGCCATCATGATAAGAAAGGTTGTACATGTACATGGGTTTTCACTGTGTTTTTTTTAGTGGATTTTGGGGGACTTGGTCCTGCAGGCCCGGTTGGACTAAATATTGATGGAGTATGATGGACTTGGGCATGGAGGTCTATTAAGCAAAGCATGCATTGGAAGCAGTGTGATTGATGGATTTTGGCGGACTTGGTCCAGTACATGTTCCGGTACAAGTTTAGTAAAAGACAGTACGGAGTTAGGGTTAATGTATAAGGATTTCTGCTGTAATATCATTTCCCTTGCGATGGAGTCATTTCCTAGATTAGAATTTTAATCATCTCGTATGTTTTTTTTAATTCCAGCTAAAAGCAATTAATAATTCAACGACAGCTTAGGGACATGCAGCCAGACTGTTTAAGCTCCTTGCAAATGTGGCCCTCCGCTCCAGAGGGAAATTAATCCGTCAAAATTAAACTTTGCCAGATCCGCGACAGAGTAGCAGAAGTTGTCCCAGATGAGAGAGTTTAATTGTCTGGATACAGTGCTGGACTCCCACTGGTGAAATTTATGGATACGGTTCACCATTGGAAGAGAACATCAAACATTCTGGAAACGATTAACACTTGTCAACAGAATGCTTTCCAAGAACACCGACTCACGAATGACCACACTCAGTTTTCAACTTGTCAAGTTATAGAGTTTACATGGCCAACTATGTTGAATACAGTGTACCATTTCAAATTTGACATTCTGGAAACGTTCAACACTTGTCAACAAAATGCTTTCTAAGAACACTGACTCACAAATGACCACATTCTGTTTTTAGCTTGTCTTCATAGAGTTTATGTTTTATAACTATGAGTTATAAAACCTTTTTACAAATTAACCACAAAGGAAAGCTGACTAGGTGAATTATACAATTTTTGGAAAAGTTGAACAAAGAAATTGAAAGGAGGGGGGCTTGAACCTGCGACCTACGGATTACCGTTTTTCCATTTGTAAAAGTAACCCCCCCCCCTCCTCCCCCCCCCCCAAAAAAAAAAAACACCCAATTTTTTGAAAAGTTGAAAAAAGAAATTGACTGGAGGGGGGCTTGAACCTGCGACCTACGGATTACCGTTTTTCCATTTGTAAAAGTAACCCCCCCTCCTCCCTCCCCCCCCCAAAAAAAAACACCCATTGTTTTCAAGCCAACCAAAACTCATCATGATTGTGCTAACTTGAAGTGGGCCAAGTTGTATCAGCTGGAAAACAGGGCTCTGACAAATTGTTCATGTCACAAGTAGAAACAAACTTACAATTTCCACAAAAACACAAGGGGGCAAAACAAAACTGCAGGGGAGGGTTTCAAAAACCTACACTTACAATATAAAGAAAATACATTTACAAATGCAGTAAATGTGCCAACATCAAAAGAAAACAATGGGATTGGACAAAACTGATTGAGAAAGAATAATTATGCATGTATATAATTATGCATGTATAATTGGAAATATAGTGGTGCAAAAAAAACAATTGAAGGATGTGACGATTACACGTTTTAACGAAAACATTTCTAAATCTGATTACACATTTTCCAAAACGATTAAACGAAACTCGAATTACATAAATGGGACCTATGTTCAGGCGATCTTCCTTTGAGTTAAACCTACATGTACATGTTCATAACACAAAATATTGTGTCAACAATGTTTTCAAACCTATTCAATTTACAAAACCTTGAAACCACTGCAGTACTTGATTACATTCGGGGTACACGTAGTTTAGTTTTTACTTCTTCACTGACTGCCATAGTTGATTTATCATGCCAATCACGCCGGTCTGCAGCAATATTGGGCACGCATCAGTGTTTGTGACTGGCTAACCATTTAAACGGTACTCAAAATATTTGCTAACGTTTACAAAATTAAACGCAAAGTCACATCCTTAAAAAAAAATACGCAAATATTGCCAACACTGGCAAACAATTTCCTATTTTCCGAAGGCAAAGGGCAAAAGGACATTGCAGGGCAGGGGTTCAACAATATGCACAGTAAAAAATATATAAAAAAATGCAACCCCAGTATTAAAGTGAACCAACATCAAATAAACTGAAATAAAATGGAATGGGATAAAATAGGTTGAGAAATAAGAACTTAAGGACATGTGCAAATACACTGATGTCTGTATCTGTTCATGTAATATACTTGCAAATATGTTGATTGCACAAGTAAAAATTAAAAGGACGCATAGCTCAAACAAATAGTTGGATGTATCTTAACAAGCCTCTGAACTGATGACGTCGCACTTTGTTTACATGTGTACTTTCTTATGGGAGCTTGATGGGACGACCGTTGCTTCGCCCCATGGATAAGTGCACAAATAAACAAAGTGTGACGTCAACAGTACAGAGGCTTGTTTAAAGGGAAAATACAACATTTGCAAACATCAAAAAATAAAACTACCAAATCATTTTGAAATACCTTGCTGGACTGTTAGTGAATGACAGTGTAAAGCATCCTGTAAAATCATGGCACCTGGTATACTGTCATTTTCAAGCAAAGTGGTATTTTTGTATCAATTTCCAACGCTGATCGGCCAATCAGCGTTGGAAAAAACTGGCTTTTTTCCAGATACTGGCCCTAGTTGACCGTCGCACTTGTTTGCAATCGATTACACACCTTTGAACGGATACAAGCCAGCTAGACTGGTTCCCTGACCTTACAATTCCCCAATATATGTAAACTGCTCTGTTTCTTCTTAAATGGAGTCAAGGAACCAGACTACAGGAAAATGATTGTTTTTCTTGGTTTTTATAGCATTTTCGAACCCAAAACCTCAAAAAAGTCAGTGTAACTATATTTGCTATATATTTCCAACCCCCCAATTCCATCCATTTCTGAAAATTACAGCAAAAGCAAATGATGTATATTCCCTTTAAAAGTGGTTAGTTACATGTGCACAATGTAGGATGATTTGTGTGGTACACATGTTGATTTTAAAAATAGTTTTGGAAGGGCATGCACACCCCCTTTGCTGAAATAAATGACCACTACGTTTGAAGTTGGTTTCCTTCCTAAGTCGATAAACCCTGAACTACTACGTTCATGATGCAGTCATTTATATTTTTAAAAAAATTATTAAGTTGTTTTTGTTTTGGGAGCAGGGGTGTCGACTTTTGACAAGGTGCATGTAGGTTAAATTAAAATATAGTTTTAGGAATTCCATTTCAATTCCTTTTGAGCAAATAACCCTTACAGTCCCAGTACCCCCCCCCCCTCACCCACCCCACCCCGCTCCCTCACATCCCACCCCACCCCTGACCTTGCCTTATACTCCATGTTCCGACCACAACTACCTAAGCACTGTATCAAATTTTCTTGAATCTTCAGTGTGTAAATACAAAGATAGTACAGGTGTTACTGGATCATGAAAGTAAATATGCTCATGCAGATGGAAATATGTATAAACAAAAATATCATGGGGTAAAACAAAATTTATGATGGTCAAAACAGAAAATCAAGCAAAAAGACTCCAACATGTCGTAAGTGGGTTCTGGTACTGAAAAGTCGCTGCAATTGTTTTAAAATTTTAGTCAGGTACAAGTGCTTCAAGTTTTATTTATAAAAACTTTACATGTACCAGTACATGTACATTAATATTATGAAGAGGTCAGACGACAAGCCAAAGCTTATGGCCCAAGTTACATACGAGTAACTTAAAGCACACTGTTAGATAAGTTATTTTTCAGTACCACAACCCACTTTGACACCAAATAAACCACAAAAATGCTTGTGATATTCCGTCACCTGGTTCTGGCTCCGTCTCTGGCTTGGTCCCAGCACATAACTGGTCATGATTCCCTACAGAATAAAAAGAACAAGCCCCAAACAAACACCAGAACATGAGTTAATGTGCACATGAAAGATGTGATGCATGATGCACAATGCATTGGGACGTGTACACTTTCTTTCGTAACTCCTAGGGGCGCAGACCAGTAGATAGGCCCAAAATTGCCTTTGCAGTCCAAATCACAGTTTGTATTCTGTCAAATTTTCTCTTAATAGAGAATTTTGGCCCCTGCCTTTGAGTACAGGGTGAGTAAAAAAAAAAACGAAACCCAAATGGCAGGACCAATTTTTGAATGAAGGTTTGCCTGTAGATCTTTCAAAATCTAGGATATGAAAGCCCAATTAATGAGCTTTCTTTTATTACAAAATCATTCATGTACTTTTCAAGTTGCAGAATTTTTGAACATAAACACTGTTTTAAAGTTCTGTCCACGGATCACAAAAAAAGTAAGTGTTTTTTCAGCGAACAAAAACAATTCACATGCATCCCTATATTTCGTTTTGCTGAAGCGATGGGCTTCAGGACTGCTTTTAGTGGTTATCGTCTGTGGAGGGAATAGCACAGAAAGTGAAAGAGGGTGATTACTATCAAGCTTTAATATCATGTATGTCTTAATCACCTGTGACTTGTGGGGTTTTTTTTAAGTTGGGGTATTTTTTGGTCGGTGGTGACTCTGGGGATCTATTTACTGGTCTGCAACCTCAGTCATGCATGGATATACATGCACATGTTCAATATCACGGTCAATTTCATTTGGCAGGTGCCTGTACATGATGCGTTTTCATGCTGTCTGCTGCTTTACCGTTGAGTGGGTTTTTTTATTTTCTGCTGTGAAAAAAAACCCCCAACTTTGATCTGATCTCGGAAGCTGCGGGACAAGGAATGCATGTTTACCTTATTTTGACTTTTGTCCCCAGATCTGTAGGTCAGATGAAGAGGTCACCATGGACATGTTTAATGTTTGACGAAGGCCAACATGATGACAGCGCTAATTCTGTCATTTGAGGGTTTTTTTTCCTAATTTGACAAATTTCGACCTTTGACCCATATCTGTAGGTCAGACGAAGAGGTCACCGCGGACATTTTTTAAGGTTTCACCAAGGCCAACATGTTGACAGCGCTACTTTTGTCATTTGACCTTATTTGTGCTTATTTGAGCTTAATTTTGAAATTTGACATTATTTTCACCTTGATTCCATGATGACCTTTAACCCCAGTTTGGTTGTGCGAAATGTTGGGGTTGGTCTAATGATACTTTTGGCATTGAAATCGTTCAAAATATCGTTCAAAATATGTAGGAGCAATAGACAATGTGAACGTTTGTTACTAACTAACTAACCTACGGACTAACGGAGAGACGTGAGTAACAGTACTTGTAGAGCTGCTATCCGCAGCTAAAAATAGTTAAAGAACTGTCTGTGCTTCTTAGATCATCTTTTTGAATTGCTGTTTCTTTAGCAATACAGAAGTTACTCATGATTGAAAGGAAAGAGACAATTGCTTCAAAAATTTTGAGTTATTTGTAGCTCGACAATAAATCACTTCCCGCAGGGTAGACTGGTTCCTGCCTCCCTATGAGAATCCATATGGACTGGGAACCAGTTTATCGTATAACTGATCTGTTTGTGTGGAAAAGCTTCCCAAAATAAAAGCCATTTTTCAGAGGGCCGCAGCAACCAAATATGAGGGGGGGGGGGAATTATTTTTCAATAAATTAAAATATAAAATTCAGTCCTTCTGATTTGAGGCGTGCAATCGCACCCCCACGCCATCGCACTTCCCTGAGAAGTGCGAATAATCCCACGCCTGAATCCCTCTGTACCACACACCTTGGCATACATTTACAGCTTAATTATACTTCATTATGTGTGAACAAAAGTACGTCGGTGACGAAAAAAAAGTATTATAAAAAAATAGCAGATTGTTCAGTCCCAGCTTGGACCACAGAATCACACGCCTAAAAAAATCACACACCTAGATAAATCAAAAGCCTAGGAAAAAAAACAAGGTGTGCCTTCTTCCCCACGCCTGTGATTTTCAAATCAGAAAGACTGCAATTGAAAATTTGTCAGAAGAAAAAAAATTATACATGCACGTGTATGTCATGGAGCAGCCGAGCACGCCAATTTGTACTGTGTGAAATAATTTGTATATAAATTTTGGTTACCAACCAAAACGCCTATGGCCTGGGTTCGATACATGCTCAGGTCCACATGTGGATTGGGTTTCAGTCCCTGCCCAATTCCGTGGGTGTTTTCTGGGGTTTTCCTCCCACCTCTAAAGCTGTAATTTCTTCTCACTGTCTTCTCTCTAAAGATTTGTTCAGGCTTGCGAGCTGCAGTGCCTGGGGCGCTTTTGAGGAATCCTTGGTTTAGAAATAATTAATAATAGCAGCAGGATATTTCACCGAGTATTATCTTTCCACATTTTGCAATTCCATGACACGTCATTCACACACAGTTGTCATATACATTAGGTGCACATACATTTATGCATGTCCACGCAGGAGTAAGTACATAAATTTGTATGTAAATGCGCTGCAGTTTCAATGAATATATTTTGGAGGCTCTTTCATGCAAAGTGAAATGGATGGATTGTGAAGTGAAAATGACCCCCCCCCCCAAAAAAAACCGCAATAATTAAAAAAAATCAATCAATAAACTAGAATTGTGTTTGTGGACAAACACGAACTGTTTCGACAATAGTTTTTATCTTCAAGCAAACGTGTATCCTGTTAAACAAAACAAAATCAAAAACTAAATTTTAGGAAAGGCACTGCACATGAATCAAAGAAAAACTGTACAGCATGCAAGATGAGTTAGAAATCATAAAAGAAGAAGCCATTCTAGGGATGCGCATCGGAACGGGGTACCCGAGAACCCAACCGCTGATGTCAGGAACCAGTTCCAGATTATGGGATCGCGAGTACCCGTATAAACCAACTTTACAAATTACTTAGTTACTTCTCAGACATTGAAAAAGGGAATTTTTAAAATTGAAAACCAGGCTACATGGAAAGCCAAAACAGACCTCACGTTCAGGCGCATTTTAAGGCGCGACAGATGACGCTCGTGAACGTTTCAGTTTACACCGTAAAGCTACATGTACAAACTCCTTCAGACAACATCCAGAATTTGAATTTTGGGGTTGGTTGTTGGGTTCCTTTTTACGGGTCCCCGGGTACCTGTGTTTTACTTCAATAGGGTATCCTTTCGGTTTGCATCTCCAACTATCTTCAGTCTCCTGACGATGACTAGAGCAGGCTAGTCGAAACGTTGAGACCAAAGACAAGTTCGTTTAGAACTGACAGCAGGACTGTTCTTAACAGAACAAAAAACTACTTAGCAAAGTTGATAATAAGCAGGACAAGTTCTTTTCAGAACTAATATCTTCTAAGCAGTAGTTATTACCACATGGTGTTACCGCAAACCGAAACGATACCGATACCCCACCATGCAAAGCCTCAAATCTTATTTCAATAGGGTACCCGGTTCCCGTACTAACCGTAAATGCACACCACTGACCCATTCACAAGTCATGCTTTCATGTATACATGCAGTCCTTAAACTTTTTTATTTTCATTCCAAAGTACCATGTACATGTATACCATACAGGAAACGAAAGAAATTAAACCAAGGGCAGACTGAGAAATCCGGAAGTATGGTCTAGGTTAACAGAAGCATTATTGACCCATGGAAAACAGGTTAGTTTCTATCTCTTGTTATCCATAAGCAAGTGAAAGGGAAATAAAACGATGTCAGCAGGACATCAACCTGCAATCTACAGATTACTGTACCAGTAGAAGACCAACTGAGATATCAATGTCAACAAGTCCGTGTACTGGCTGCCTCCTTATTTGTCAAAATCTTTCTTCTGAGCTGGGCAACAGATCAAAGACATTTTAATGATTTTTGTTTGCCAAGGCGGATACTATGTGCTATAAAAATTAAGTTTCACTGTGACAAACAAGGCCGGCTTGAGCCTTATATAGAATAATACGTTTTGTAGTCTGTCCTTTTGATATTCGTAGTCGTGTCTAGCAATTTTTATGTAATTGAATTTTAAAATTGTCTTATATTTTTATATTTCAATTGTCTCATGCTTGAGAAATTATCTAAGAAAAGAATAAATAAATACTAAGTAGAAACACCTACTGTCTTAATGACGAATATGGTTGCGAGATAGTTGAGGGGATTTCCAATCAATTTTTATGTAATTGAATTTTAAAATTGTCTTATATTTTTATATTTCAATTGTCTCATGCCTGAGAAATTATCTAAGAAAAGAATAAATAAATACTAAGTAGAAACACCTACTGTCTTAATGACGAATATGGTTGCGAGATAGTTGAGGGGATTTCCAATCAATTTTGTTTTTGTCTTGTTGGTCACAAGGTTATCGGAAGTGAAATTCTCCCCCGGAAATTCCTTGAGGGTGTTAAGATTAATTTCTTCATTTTCTGATTACCTTTACTTGTGGGGGACATCCGAAGGAAAGTTTGCAGGAAAGTTTTGCTAATTTGTCATAGTATTTCAGAAAAACGTCATTCACTTAAAAAAAATAACTTTGTGGGAAAGTTTCAGAAAATTGCAAAACATTTTTTTGAAATATCTGGCAAGATTGAAATAACTTTAAGGTGGAATCCAGCAGGAATTTTCTGGGCTACCGATGAATTAATGATATGAATTTGCCATTTGTGGTTGTTGACAACAGTGCGCGTATACTCTGCTGCGTGTGCGTGCGAAGGTAACGCACGCTACACTCTGTTGACTGGTTGACAACTGTGATTTTCTACACTCTTGATGGAGCTGGAACCAGTGAAATGTGTTAAAATTCCCAGACGACTACAATATCAAAAATAATATTGTAGTCATCTGGGCGCCTTTTCTGAAAACGCATGCAATACGATGATTTATTTTTTACAACCGGGAAGCTTGATATGAATAATGTCTCTCGCTTATGCACATGATAAAGAGTTCCTGAAAAGATCAAGCGATAAACAACAGCATGTGTTTGATGTGTACACAATGCAAGAAGATGCAAGAAGTCAATATTTAATCCACAGTCCTGTGCAGTATTCAATTACTACTTGAATTCCTGGGTTAAAATTAACTAGACCTGTGGTGCATCATTGACAACTGTTACTAGGGAAAGATTACAAAATCAATAAAAAAAAAAATTTAGCCAAAGATAATAACAAGTGATCCGCGGATCACACATGTCGCCTTTTTCCGCGGTCGATCCCCATATGTTTTGTATTCTTACAAAAAAGTCAAATGTGGTGAATTTTAAACGACCTCAAATTACCCCTAGATGACCTTTGACCTCCAATTTGGGAAGACTTGTGATGAACCCCCACCCAAGGATCACTCCATCCCAAGTTACATTAGAATCGATCAAATTCTGTAAACAAAGAAACATTTTAAGTATATTTGAACAATGACCCCTACATGACCTTTGACCTCAGTAATCCGATGAAGAATTGTGTCTCCCACCCAAGGGTCACTGCATCCAAGTTTCTTCAAAATTCATAAAAGCATCATGTATAAATTTTACATTTTTTTCGAAACTTTTACATACAGGTCTACGGTCATACAGAATTTAGGACCAGTGTTTAGTGTCTCCCAAAACTTTGTTTAGGAACACCAAAAAAGTACACTCAATGTCAAGAAAAACGCCTAACATCTGCCAATTTAACAAAAAAAAACTTTTTGAATTCCATTTTCTTTCAGCAGATATTTCAAAATTAGATTGTGGAAAAATTTGGTAACAGAAAAACCTATAGCACAAGAAAAGCACCTTTATCATTGATTCAGCTTTTTCTGAGCACATCATCTTTTTGATTTCCTGACTAAATTCCCTTTTTTTTCCAGCCAACGTTATTTCAAAAGTAAACTGTGGAAAATGAGGGAGCCGGTAACACAAAATCTAGTATGAGAAAAGCCCCTTTAGTGTTGATGCAGTTTTTTTCTGAGTACTTCAATTCCTAGTACGCCCATATGACGCCGAGACATTAATCGGTGTTGTGCCAGTTTCCAACCAGGAAGACCCACATTGCCCACATGAAAGGAATGCGATTCAAAGAACAGCACAGGAAGTAATTTCTATGTACTTTAACTTAAATCAGAAACGTTTGGGTAGGGAGTTCTACATGTTACTTTCCAGAATAGCTGATGCTCAAGATTTTTTACTTTCCAAAATACACTGAGGCTGCCACAGCTAACCCACAAATGTTTGTTTCGAACTGTGACTCCCTGAACATGTTGAACAGGGTGGAGATTGGGGGTAAATTTATTTTGTTCTGTATTTCTTTAAAAGGTAAAAACAACTTTACAGTACAAATTTCAGGAATTCCAGATTAAAAAAGGATTTTTATTCAAAATAATAAAAATCCTGACAAAAAATCTTGAAATCTGGACAAATCCCAACAAAAAATCCTGAAATCTGGACAAATCCTGACAAATCTTAGCCAGAGTTGAATCACCAGGGGCCAATTTCAAAGAGCTGCTTAAGCACAAAATTTGCTTAAGCACAAAAACGTCTTGCTTAATAAAATCAAGTTACCGGCCAAAACTCCATGCGATTGTTATGCTAAGTAAACAACCGCTAAATACCAGTCACAAGTAATGTACATCGCATGGAGTTTTGGCCGGTAACCTAATTTTACTAAGCAATGTTTTTTCGTGCTTAAGCAAATTTTGTGCTTAAGCAGCTCTATGAAATTGGGCCCAGCTGGATACATGCACGTCAGGATACCTTTAGTATACATGCTCCTATTATTTATGTTAGTGCAAAAATGCATTGCTCTTGCAAGTATTGGTCTACGCGGTGCATGTAGTTATTCAAGGATTTGAGCATGCACAAGTACGCATTTGCTGTAACATAGAAATCGGGAGGCAGCAACCAAAATGCAAATTTCACATGCACATCTGCAAATTTAGTGCCAAAAAAAAAAAAAAAACTGAAAAGGAAAAAAAAAATTAAAAAAAATTAATAGTAAAGCAAGAGACAAAGTGTATGAGTACCATTCCAATGGTGATAATGGGAAGTAATACAGCTACAACAATGTTAATGTTTATCAGATGTATAAAGATAACTCTGGCAGAACAGGATACTTTATGTTATTCATCCTGTTAAATGTTAAAACATATCCAGCAGTTACCCAGATTGTCTGCCCCTGGTGATTTTCAAGTTCTCAGATTCCACTCTAAACTGTGAAAACAAAGCCCTACGAAAGCCTCAAGTACCTTTTTTTCTCAAGGCCCAAAGTATCTGTGGGCGTACCTGCAGAAAACGCTTGATTTACAAGTACAGGTACTTGTATGTACCTTTCGATATGCTTCCTGTTGGAAACGTTGGATAACGGGCAGGATGGCACACAATGGCACACAATGGCACACAATTATGGTACACAATGGCAAATGTCCTTGTTTTTGAATGCATGGAATATGGTACATGTATGGCCACATACAAATGACAGCAAAACATCTACATGTACATGTATTTTCCCCAAGAAATTTACAATCATCAAATTGGAAAAAGTGAAGAATTAAGCACCATAGTATTATGGTAAAGCTCAACATGGTATATGAACCTACCGGTACATTCATCACGCTTTCCTGTTCATGTACATTGTACGTAGAATCATTTATATTTAGTGCCTTTTTTTTCATTTGAAGCAACAACAGTGCTCGAAATCTTAATTAGGGTGCATAACAACTAACCTGTTGACGTTTAAAGGGAATATACATCATTTGCTTTTGCTGTAATGTTCAGAAATGGATGGAATTGGGGGGTTGGAAATATATAGCAAATATAGTTACACCGACTTTTTTGAGGTTTTGGGTTCGAAAATGCTATAAAAACCAAGAAAAACAATCATTTTCCTGTAGTCTGGTTCCCTGACTCCATATATGAAGAAACAGAGCAGTTTACATACATTGGGGAATTGTAAGGTCAGGGAACCAGTCCAGCTGGCTTGTACCCGTTCATAGGTGTGTAATCGATTGCAAACAAGTGCAATGGTCAATTGGGCCAGTATTTGAAAAAAAGCCAGTTTTTTTCCAACACTGGTCGGCCGACCAGCGTTGGAAATTGATACAAAAATACCAGTTTTCTTGAAAATGACAGTATACCAGGTGCCATGATTTTACAGGATGCTTTACACTGTCATTCACTAACAGTCCAGTAAGGTATTTCAAAATGATTTGGTAGTTTTATTTTTTGATGTTTGCAAATGTTGTATTTTCCCTTTAAGCTCAGTCGCTACTGTACATTTTGAGAAAACTGAGAAAACAGCTAGGCACAATTCTTTGGGTGTCCTAACTGGATTCCACTGTTAAAGAGAGAGTGGACCATTTGCAGATATATCCAAATAGTAACCAACCAAATTATTGTTAAAATGATTATGATTTGAAAATATAGCAATGACACAAAATTCCCCTATGAAATTATTCCTTCTGGCATGCTGTCATTTTGAAGAAAACAATACAAGAATGTCATTTCCAAAGATGTGTCAAGTGAAACACTTTTGGAAATTTCTGTTGGTACATGTAGTTGGTTTGTAATTGGGCGAATCTGTGAATGGGTGCTATTACAAGCCTTGGCGCGACGCACACGCACACGCGGTTGCAATTATTAGCGAGAATTGTCGGTTTTGTGTGTGTAACATCACGTACCGTACATGTCGACAATCAGCCGAATGAGAATCATGTCCCGAATGCTGATTTTTGGATTGTGTCACAAGAGGGCGCATTTCAAAATATGACTCTGCAACTTTTGAATTGAAATCAATTGATCAAGAATATTGTGTTTTCTCAAAATATACAGCATTCACAGAGCTAAAAATTCATCAGGTTATTGTTACCGGTACATGTAAGCATCTTTAGATTCTGAGCACTTTTGTTGCTTTAAATGAAAAAAATGCACAAATGAACAAAAGTTCATCCTACCTTTAACACACACAAAAAGTGTGCCCACCAGCAAATTTTTTTAAAAACCACCTCCAATAATTGTTTTGTTCGGAAAAATACTTTTACAGGTTATTTGTTACGAGCCCTATTTTCCCTTAAATCAAGGGTTTTCTCCAAATGTTTAGATCTGTTTCGGAGTAATTAGCAATTAAACACCAGTTGCCACTATCATCACTGGAATGGTACTATTTTTTTTTATTTTAATTTTTTAAACATAACTCTGACAAATGTACAACATACTTCAGTAAGAAATCACCTGTTAATAGAATACGCTGGCATTGAGGCGATCCCTGCACCAAATTTATGGGGTGTAAGTTCTGTTGGTCAAAGCGAATCCATGCTTCGTCCATGTCAACTGTATCACACACATTAACAGCCAGAAATCAAACATGGTAGTCAGGGTGTACACAATCAATTATAACGCTGAATAAATGAAAGGTTAATCAGCAAACTATGCTCACGCCAAAATGCAACGGCCCTTTTTCATTCCTCATTGTGGTGTCGTTTTCCTGTACTATAAAATGCATTACACTGTAGTTGTTTGCAAATAATTAACGTTATTTTAACATTTTGATTGAGCACATACATGTGTAACCCTAGCCCCCTAGTACATGTACTTCCTCAGGACTACCCTGCTAAATCCAACAGAGTCCAACGGGAGTTTCCTGCACAATCCACTGTGCCTTATTTTCAGTTGTCTGCTGAATCCAACAGAGTCCAACTTGGCGTTATAATGTGGTTAAGTTGTCTGCTGAATCCAACATATTGCAATCAGGAATGTACACCAGGGGTTTACTGCTCAATCCAACAGGCTCCATTGGGTATATGATATAGTTGGATCCTGTTGGATTCAGCGGGGTTAGGGTTTTAATTAGATGAAATTAAAACAATACACAATTACAGGCAATCTGTTGAATGTGGGGCATCCTTGCAAAATGAGATGGAACTGGGTCGAAATAAGGGTTGCAGGTATCAGGAATTGATGAATGAAATACTGCTTACAATACTGCTGCACTTTAATCGGACTTTCCGTTGACAAGTTATGGCAGTTAGAAGTTCACATTTATCAACATGTTGAAAACATAAAATACTAGGAAAAGGCCTTAAACCCTAACTCCCTAGCATGATTTACTAGGAACCATACCCATCCTGGCAAATTCCAACACCATATGGGAAACTGCACACACATATTTCTGACTTTGTTTCTGGAGGTGTACCAACCAAATGTAAAAGACTGTCAGTTTAGGGGTTGTACCCATCCCGACAGATTTCAACATAACAGGTTGTTGGGGTTTGATGGGTTAAGTTCTGTTAGGGTTAAAGTTTTCAAGTTTTGTAGTCATGAAGATGCCACTTGTTTTTTCTTAACAACACTTTTATTCCATGACTTTTGCACTATTGTGTAGGAGACATATACATGTACAATGTATATATCAAAGATTTCAAAATCAATAAATCTGAAGGCACACAAAAACCATCCCCATGTATTAAAATAAAGTTCACAGATAGTAAACCAAAACTTATCCTATCATTAGAGAAACACTCAACACTTCCTCACCATCAAAAAGTACCTGCACTGATATGCTTGGCCAGTGTTAAAACAATGGATTTTACCCAGGGTTTAAAAATGCATGAAAATACATTGACGTCACTAAAAAAAATCATCTCAAACTTGTTTTTATAAATAAATGCTATTTTTGAAATGGGACTAAAACAGGTTGCTCCTACGGTAGCTGTGCACATAAAGGTTTTCTAAAAGTTGACCAAAGACTGTCTAATTAGGGTGTGCCAAATTGTGGCAAAGGGTGCCCCAAACTATTAAAAGGGTGTCCAAAAAGCACCCTAAGGGTTTAAAGGAATGATCCATGCTCCAATACAGTAACACCAACATGATCAGCACATCCATGTAAATCATGGGTAACTGAAGGGGCGGGGGGGGGGGGGGGTTAATATGTAATCACACCATGCTCTCTAAGGAGAATCAAAGCTTTTATGGCAATTCCATTAACTTGTGGCTGCTAATCAGGCAGAAAAAAAAATTGGGAGAAAAAACATTATCTGGCAGCTGGCCAAGAGGACATCTAGTGTGCACTGAAAGTTGAAACTTGTTCAGATCATCCTGGGCAACTTTTTCCCCCCTCAGATTCAGTCCCAGGCCAAGCATCTCAAGGGAGAAAGTGCACGTCTGGCACTTTGTCTGGCCATATTTTGAGGAATACATGTAAGAACATATAACTACGTGTAACTTTACCTTGTGACAAATACAAATTTAGGGGAAAATTTAGGAAAGCGCACACTGACACAGACAAACTTGTACACATGAGTTATCCCATGGTACCGGTACTATGGGGACCGAAGAGACTGTGGGGACAGTTGAAAGTCCCCACAACTTGGTCCTAATTTGCCCAACAATAAAAAACTTCCCCATAATGTGGTCACGGCCCGCCCACACATACTTGTTCCGTAGTTGTGGGGACTACACACGAGTTGTGCCATGGTACTATGGGGACCGAAGACGCTGTGGGGACAGCAGGAAGTCCCCATAACTCAGTCCTAATTTGCCTAACAATAAAAAACTTCCCAATAACGCAGTGCCAGCCGGCCCATGTAAACAAACTTTCAATTTGATCGGGATGAACAATGGGGCAACCAAATCAGTAAGCGAGGAATTTTAATGCCAAACAAATGTGTATACGGAAGATAAAAATGAATGAATAAAACTGATAAGAAAAATTCAAGAATTTGGTTTTGTTTGGCATGTTGGAGGGGAGGGATGTACGTGTATAAGTTCTTTTTTTATTTATCTATTCCTATTCTCATGAGGTGGTTATGGATTTCATAGCACACACTTGACTGTTAATGTACATGTACATGTACATGTACATGTACACGTACTCATATACCGGTACACGTAAAAATACATACATGTACGGTACATCAGCTTAACAGCTACATGTACATTATATGCATGCAATGTTCTCTTCGCTGATCTCTGTTAATTTGCAAATTCTAACAAAAGCTATTCACGGCTTTGTTCCTGTAGTAGTACCGATTGAAATTATAACTGAAAACCACCGTGCATGTTATGTACATGTACATGTATGTATCTGTACATGTATGGTACCGGTATTACATGTAGCATTACAGAATACAGTTTTGTTGCTTTTCATGTAAATGTACATGTAGCTACCCTCATATTTTAACCAGGGATTTTCATATACTTAGAGTACCAAGCCAAAGTAATTTTGTTTCACTGCACTGGAATTAAGAAAATCTTTCCATTTAAATTTATCTTTTGCAAAATGCCATTTTGTGCAGGTACCGGTACATGTAGAGGGTGTATTCAAAAGTATAGTATTTTAACTACTAAACTTGTATCCTGGTCAAGTGCATCGGTGATGTACGGACGTCACTCCATACAGAAGCAATTCCGTCGCTATTGTTGAGTTGGCCATAACATGTTTGTCATGTAGTAATGGGTAGGCTGGTGTTGGAAGCCAGTTGCCATAGAAACCCAAGAGGAATTTTAACTAAACCACAAGGGTTTCAAATATATGGTGTTCCAAAATCATAAAACACCTACATGTATTGAGCACAGTGTGGAGCTCTGCGGTCTAATGGTTACGATGTCCCACTCGTGTGCGATGGTATTTGGGTATGAACCCCGACGGGGAATATGGTGTTTGTGTTCTTAGGCAAGACATTTTACAACAATTGCCTCTCTCCACCCTGGAGTACATATGGGTCCCAGAGAGGGTAGAGACCAGGTTGCGCTGATCTCGTCCCCAGTGCTTACTTTATTTCCAACCGCGTTTCCAATAGTAAGCCCTGGATAGGAAACTTCCTTCCTGTATCCTGATTGGATACCGCAATTGGCTAGTAATGGATTTTTATCGCGTACTTGGTGCTATTATTCAAAACGTGTTTTCGCGATCATTCGTCCACGCCTTCTCGAAAATACTAATTTCCTTTCCAATTTGCTCATATTAATATGAAATATGATACTGCATGTTGTCTGGATAAGATCGTAACAGTTTGATTTCAAAAATCGTGTTTTCGTAACTCACGCCGTGCTCGCGCTGCTACGAACTGACTCTGTTTTTACCCCAGACACCGCATACAAAAACAAATGCTAATGTGTAACGCATATCCAGGCACCAGACTGTTCCTCATTTGCATACGTGTGCAAAAATCTTGCACATGCAAATGATCAAATACCAGGGTGAGAGAGCAGGTAGTGGTGGGCGCGTACTGCTCGACACCCTGGGGACGAGGTTGAGGTTGCGCTGATCTCGAGCTGTTGCAGAAAACTGGTCTCACTGCCTGATGAACAGGGGTAATAATAGACCTTAAAGTCCCACGCTATGGCATTTTGAGCAAGCACAGCCGTGATTTACATCCGACATGCTTGCACAGAAGTCCTACATGTGTGCACGCGCATGATGCAAATGTGACCTGCCATGGCATAAATTGTGCATTGTGCATTGCAAACTTTACGTACATGTACTATACGTATGTTGGACAGTTATTGTGCGCGTTGTAAACACCTTTAGAGCACGGGCTGTAGGTACATGTTCACAGATTGGATCAGTGCTGCAAAACGTCACGTAACTTACAGCACATGCTCTATTGCCCATGCATACGATGTCTTCTGTCGAGCGCTCTGAGACTATGGTATAGGCTCCGTGCTCCAACAAAAGAGGACGTTTTTTTACCACGTTTGAGATCCCCTTGGACGGGACACACAGCCTGTGCGCACTGTACTGTACTGGTTCTCACGCGAAGTATGCACGACTTCCTGAATGTGCCAAAGCTTTTAGCCACAGCCTCTTCGCGTGAGCATCAGGCGTCATGCACGAATACATGTACATTCAAATTTATCTTGCAATGGTCTCCCAGACTAATCCCCGCCACCAAAAACTTTGGATCATTTGAAATACACAGTGGATGGACAGGAACCAGTCTAGGTCTCCCCCAACTCTTCTCTTCTGGCTGTTGAAGGGGTACTTGTGCACGGAGCCCATAAAGGGCAATATAAGTACCAAGTTATTTTATCATTATTAATACAAAAACATGTGTATCATATTTCTATTAGTAATTCCTGCATGTGTAATACTGGTACCTACTTGGACTTTTGACAACTTTGGTCTTGTGTCTACTGACAGACATCATGAAGAGTAGGTCCAGCATCAGGAGCACCATGGCAATCACCAGGATATACATCAGTGTTCTGATGTTGACTCTTATGGTCACGCCCATAGTAGCAGACAGCTGCAGTACTGTCGCAGAGTACCGGTTCAAAGTGACTGTTCAGTTCTGTAGCGGCAATCCTGCATACGGAAAGAAAAAAAAAAATCTAATTTGAAAAATTCCCAAAAATTTGTATTACAAAAATAGGATATGATGTAGTGTACACAGTTAACATTCCTGCACAAGTCACAATTTCAGAAATGCGCCCCCAAAAGTTTTGGGATACGCTCAATTTTAAACTGCAATCACCACAATTCAAGATACCAAGTTCTGCAAATGAAGCCTTCGCACACGATTCCGTGACAAATAAACCTTTCCATTGACAATGTTATTACGATGAAAACATCTGCAATTTAGCTCCCAGCAAAGTTACATTACTCTGTCCTGATTGGTGGATCCCATGGCAACGGCAGTGGGATTCATCACTGTATGCAAATACAGGCAGAAACATGTGTTGCGTTTGTTTGTTTCTATAATAACATTTGTAAACAATAATGTCAATAATTTTCCCAACCATACCATATGCTCTTGGATATATGAAGGGCTTTTGAATCCTACACAATAGTATGCATTGAATCCTACACAATAGTATGCATTGAATCCTACACTACAGTATGCATTGAGGACACAAAGGCAGTTTATTATCCCCAGGATTTTTAAGGCTTTTTAAGGATTTAAGCAGAGGGAAAAGCACATCCTTTGCAACAACTTCCTTTGAATGTCTGGCAGCTTTCAGATACAATGTATACATTGTAACAACAGGTCAGTGAATTACTTCCCTCCAACCTTGATCAGCTGACCGACTGTCCAGTGATATGCCATTCACTGGCCAGCTGGCTATCGAATCAGCGTATACATGTACCAGTATATGACAGTTTTCAAGGGCTTGTAATTACAATGTATGTAATCACATCCCTTTAACACCCGGCGTCTTTGATGAGCCTTCATGGACTTTGGTTACATAATGGGTCTCAAATTTCTCATAAACTTTAAAGCTACAGTCCATCATTTGCAGCTATCCAAAAAGTGACTGACGTAATTATTGTTGAAAAACGTACTTAGCTGAAAGATAGTAAGGGGACTAAACTCCCTGTGAAATTATTCTTTCTAGCATGCTGTCATTTTGAAGAAATCAACGAAAGAAGGCCTTTCCAACGGTGCTTCTTAAGACGCACCGTTGGAAATTTCTGTTTGTAGTTCGTTGTTTTTATTCAGCGAAGCGCGCGCAAGCGTTGACACGACGCACACGCACGGTTCCTATAATTCATCGGATCAGTGCGCGACATCGCGTAGCTGCATTCGGTTCAGTAAGAACGTGTCTCGGACGCTGGATTCAGGCCCAATTCAAAACATGATTCAGCAGCTTTTGATTTGAAATCGAGATCCTAGAATGCTGTTTTTCTCGAAATATACAGCTGAAGCTGAGCTGAAACTTCATCAGGTTAGTTGTTCAGCACCCTTCTTTAGATTTTGAGTAGGTGTGTTGCTTCAAACAAACAAAATGCACAAATTACAAATGATGGACTATACCTTTAATATTAGACAGTATTTCAAGCCCCTTGAGTATGGTGCCTAATTGTTGGTAGATACATGTACCATATGTATAAGACTCTGGTGTTATTATTATTATTATCAAAAGCCACCAAGGAGCATACCAGATTCTGGTGGAACACCGCCAGCTGGGTGGAGTCATGAAGTTTGTATTGTTTTAAGTTTTTAAAAACTTGTCAAGTGGAAAAGAAAGTTCAAAGTTAGGATTTGAAAACATCTGGCGTGAACAGCATCAGATTCAGACAGACATGTATCAGACAGACAGACAGCGTAGGATCTTTTAATACAGGAAATTCATGTTACTGTACATGTACATGTGTGAAATAATGTCATGGGACGAACAATGTACAAGACTTGTCTGGGTCTATTTTTGACTTCGCTCAGCAAAATTACTGCAAATTTTGAGGGTAATTAAGACAGTTCAGGGGTCTAGACGTCCATGCTGATATGTTTTTCTCCATCGAAGATTTGGCTTTAAAGGGAATGTACATCATTGGCTTTTGCTGCAATTTTCAGAAATGAACTATTTGAGGGGTTAGTATAATAGATCAAATATTGTTACACTGACATGTTTGAAGTTTTGTGTTCAAAAATGCTGGAAAAACCAAGAAAAACAAAAATGTTCAAGTAGTCTGGTTCCTCGACTCCACTAAAGATAAAATGGATCAAATTATAGATGCCAGAAAATTGTAAGGTAAGGGAACCAGTCTAGCTGGCCTGCACCCGTTCATGAACAGGTATGTAACCAATAGCAAACAAAATTTGGACTGAAAAAAAGTGTAAAGTTGGAGCAGTAGTTGAAAAATAGTTAGGTTTTTCAAACGGTGGGCGGCCGACCACCGTTGGAAATGTATACAAAAATACCATTTTCTTGAATATGACTTCACACCAGGTGCCATAATTTTACAGGGTGCTTTAGACTGTCATTTACCAACATCCTAGTAAGGTGTTTCGTAAAAACTTGGTAGTTTTTTTTTCTCGATGTTTGCAAATGTTGTATATTCCCTTTAACATGTTAAATTTAATAACTGAAGACCAGTAAACATGCCTACCGTAGATACATGACCGAGTCATGTTGGGACAATATTGCCATAACCCCGAGGTCAAACAAACAGACCCAGTTCAGTGGGGTTCCCCCCTTGGTGAACACGCATTCCCAACTGAGGGTTACCTTTATAAACACATGATAGTGGTGAACTTGAGACGTGGTGCTTGCGAAACGTCTGTCATCTGCACAGTGCTGAGAAGAAGTTGGTTGGTTCGCTGGAAGAGGGGACTGAAAGGGAAATGAGAAAAAAACAAGAAAACAAGCCAGGAAATTGTCATTACTGCCACCTCTTATAACAGGATAATGTTTTTGCACGAAGACGCATGAAAAAAATAATAACGATGGCAAGGACTAGAAAAATCTATTTAAAAAAATGCATAAAAATTCAAGACTGCTCATTCCAGGATTGAATCAGAAATCTAAAATCCAACAAACATACATGCTCATGTAGAAATTCTAAATATTGGGGATTGCACAGTCCTGGTGTTCCCAAGTGATTGATGTTGTTCATTGTACCGGTACATGTACAAGAAAGCAATAATAAATGAGTGTACATGTATGCACATACACCTGTTGATTAATGAAGTGTTTTTCTCCATTATTGTACACAAGAAAATGAAGGTGTTTACATTTTTCAACGCAGTTTTATTTTATTGATTATTTGTCATGTTATAAATACAAATTACCTGTACATGTATATAGTTCTTTGTTTTTAGTGCTGCGCATTTTTAATAATTCAATATTCGATTATTGGAACTTAGATATGATCTATTCAAATATTTGAACACTTACATGGCGGTAAAATCTTTGTTTAATAAAGATTATCTACACTGTACATCAATGTATTTTTCGAGATAGCTGACTTGCTGACATTTGACAGATTTTAAAAATGGGCTAATATTCCTCACGACAGCTCTCACATCATGTGCACGAGTGGCTGTCCACAAAAAATGTGACATTTTGGGTCATTCCATAAATTTGGGGTCCAACTTAGTGTGTCCCTGTTACCATGAAATATACACACAGTATTGTGTGTATATTTCATATACACATACATAGGCCTATATGTTATGTTACGATAGCTGTGGCTATGAGGTCCCGTGTGTTGTGTAATGCACGTTAAAAAACCCAGTAACACTTATCGCCAAGAGAAGGGGTTTGCCCCGGTGTTTCTGGCAGTGGCTGCTTAATGCGCCGCAGCACCTTGTAAACCATTATAAAGGTGCTACATAATGGTTCTCATATTTCTCATGTACATGTACATGTACTTCATTTACCTGTCTCTAATAATAGACATAATTTCCAGCGCCTTGAGTACCTAATTGTTGGTAGATATGTGCGCTATATAAGACTTCGGTATTATTATTATTACCGTACATGTACAGTACGGTACGGTACAGTACGGTATGTACATGTACCGGTACATATGTACATGTACAGTATGTATGTCATGTGTATATATTATGTAATTCAGGACACACTGTTTAATGCCTTCTAACTATCTCCAAGAGTGATTATCTCCAAGAGTGATTATAAAATACACGTACCGGTACTGGGGTACCTACCAAACAAATATAAAATAGTGTGAAGTCAATTCGGGCGATTCAATGCAGTGCGCCACCAAGAGTTTGCCATGGAGAGTTCATTTTTCCAGTGCATTGTGGGAGATGGTCGACAAATTCGCAGCACGGGATTTGAAATTTTTAGTTTTTCTGGTCAGTATTGATAAAATTATTAGCGTATGACACGAGTATCTGTCTGTCCTTTTCTTCTTGGTGGTTTTTTTTTGTAAGGCGGCAGAACGATATGCCCCAATCTATTAAACAAATTAGCTCAAGTTGTCTACTGACCCTCATTCAAATGGGCCATGTTTTGTCGACAGTGAACTTAAAAAATGGACTCTCCATGGCAAACTCTTGGTGGCGCACTGCACTGTGAATCGCCCGAATCACAATGATACTTGAATGGCAAATTACACAGGTCAGGTGTAACAGAGACACAAAAAAAGGTCACACTTTTGGACCCCACATTTATGGAATGACTGATTTAACATACATGTACAATAAAACTACTCAACTTGTCATGCTTTACAACATCAACTGGCAATGTCTGGGACATTTCTTCTCATCTTCACAAGACGGCTCACATGGTATTCAGATTTTCGGTGGATGATCGACTATTCGGATATTAAATATATTCGGCATGCAGCCCTATTGGCTTCATGATGAATGATGAACAATGAGTGTTTCGCTTGCAAGCTTGTAATTACTGCTATCTAATTAATTAATTAATTGCACTGCTGCATGATGCTCTCACAAGCATCATGTTCAGCACATGCAGGCCTACTTGATGAAGTATCCCTCAATATTAAATTAACCCTTACTCTCTGAGGGTAGTTTACTGCATGTCAGTTGGTTATGCCAATGCCCTCCAGCTGCAGTATATTGGCAGATAAACTATCTTGACAGTGAAGGCTCCAATTGGCAGGAGTTGGAGGCCCTGGAGGGTGCCTGATACTGACCAGCTGGGGGCACTCACTTTGTTATCAGAGGACTCTCATTGTTCTCTGTGGCATGTATTGGAGTGCCTGTCCAGTTACCCTTGAAATGACATGGCAGATATTGGAGGGCCATGCAAAAAACATAGGAGATTTTCTTGAGGCACATATTGGCATGTGTTGGAGGGTCTAGTAGGGTAAGGGTTAATTACAAAAATATGACTATACTACAGGAAAACCTGTGGTATACCGGTACATGTAGCCTTTTTTTATAAATATGGGCGGACGTTTTTACCCCGAGTCCCGGGTAAAAACGCCCGCCAAACTTCCTCCCGAAAAGGGGGAAAATTTCCCCTTATCAATATAATGACCATGATATTATATTTGCACCTGATAGAGCAGACATGTAATGCATAGAACCACATATTTATTTCCTAGTGTCTCCAAGTGGTACTGAGATATTCAACAAAAACTTAAAAATCTGGCGTTTTTACCCCAGTTTATCCTGCCTGTCACAATCATGACAATGAGCAATTATCATTATTTAGAAAACGCAACATGAAATAACCTACCGGTACAAAAAAACGATAGCAAATCTTGCTAGGGGGATATTCTTATCTTTCCAGTTTCCCTTTTACTAATGATAGCAACATTTATACCCGTACATGTACAAGTAATTGAGCATGAGCGTCAATTGTATTCATGAACAGTACACTGTACATTGTGCAATGCAAGGTGGCTAAAAACAGGATGCTCACATCCCCTTGTGCACATTTGGTTATTATTCCAAAATATTTCTAAATTTCAGCAAAGCTTTGTCAATTCAATTTGTTATTAAAAAAATCGCCCTAAAATTTCCATAAAATTATGCATTGGATCTGAAATATGAGTCACATATTCTGCCTAAAATATTACGCATAAATACACTTGGCTTTCTAAGCCCTCAGTGCAGATTTGTTTTTTAAAGAGGTTGTGGAATGCTCGAAGACATTTCCGTCATTTTTTGTGTCTGTCATGATACGAGTACAAAAGGTACTTTCGAGAGCTGTTTTTCAGGTCCTGTTTCGACCCGAACGTGCAATTTGTGTAAAAGTCGTCGTTGGGGACAACAAACAAAACATAGTAAATCGTGACATAATAAACAGGACTCGTTTATACTACGCTGCATCGGGAGTCCTGTTTATTACGTCATGATTTACTATATTTTGTTTGCTGCCCCCAACGACGACTTTTACACAAATTGCAAGTTTGGGTCAAAACAGGACCTGAAAAACAGCTCTCAAAAGTACCTTTTGTACTTATTTCATGACAGACACAATAGTCGTTTTTATTTCATCACACCTTAGGCTACAAATACCCGAAAAATGACGGAAATGTCTTCGAGCATTCCACAACCTCTTTAAGTTTAAAATTTACAATTTACAAGGTTTAAATTTCAACACTTAGAATCTGCTAACAACAAGCCTGACAGCATGAACAGCAAGTTCTAACATGCCTGGTCTTACCTCTACACTGGCTGTGCATCGCGTGCGCAGGTCCAACTGACACTTGCCAATGTGATCATCTTAAGCATCTCAAGTCCCGGGATGCGATCCCTTGGCAATCTCCAGCTAAGGATCCTCTCCCCCCTAGTTGGAGATCACGGTTCTCCACCAAGTGGCCAATGCCTACAGACACCGTATCAACACCTCATTAATGAGCTGACTGGATGTCCGATGATGGGCTAGCGTCCCCTGTGCCCCGCCAACCCTCAGCGCAGCGCGGGCTAACCTCCCAAATCCAGGTTGAGGAATGGAGTACACCTGCCTCCCTAAAATGAGGCCCCCGTTGCAGAAATGAATTTACGCAGGGGTATGCCAGACATGAAGCTATCCCGTGGCATAAAATTAATCAATAATGAGGGCCTGCTGCTGAAGAATCTATACGGCGGGGGTCGTTAGACGTAATTGGAGGTTAACTCGGTCCACAAGACCGTACGTATATCTCTGACTGCCATTCTTGAAATCCTGGTCACATAGAGTCATTAACTGGAGGGAAAAAAACACAGACTTGGAGACGCTTCCTCGGTGACAGTAAGAATCATTAGAAACTGCAACATCCAAACATTGATGAAGGAGCGGCATGTACCGGTACTACATGTAGGCCCTGGAGAAGAAAAGAAAGAAAAAAATTGTTCATCTTTCAGTTCATAATACAATTAAGAGTCATAACTGCCTCTGCGTAAATTTCTATATTGAATTATTGCATTTGGGACAAGTACGGGAGAAACTCATGTGTACAGTGAAAACACTGCATCAATCTCCACAGTGTATCCCTTTGCATTGAAGTTTGCATTCAGCAGCAATTTCTGAGGTTTTTTCACACAACAATGAAGGCACAATATGATACTCATATCTCTGTGAAACAAAAGCATGCACATCAGAGATGGCTGCAATGCACAGGATCTGTATTCTTTCCACTCACATACATGTACATGTACATTTGTGTATGGTACCGTACTTAATACCTGTACTGTACATGTGTACTTGTATGCATGTATGCTGCATGGACATGTTTATAACATGCACGTTTTGTCAGCATACAGGTACACACAGATTTTAGATGCGTATTCATGTGAAGGTTTGGCTTTGAAATCTTTCTAAAAACTGCTGAACTCTTTGATTCTCTGGCAAATGTAGCATGTGTGTGCACATTTTGGATGAACCCAAACATGCCAAATGACACAACCTAAACCTGCGTTCATGGTGTTAAGACCCAATAGTGTGATGTCACTGTCAGTGTCAAACCGTGACACTATCCACTCCTAATAGGTCAAATACATTGAACATATGTACCCGCGTAAAATCACTGGCAAAGTAATAAATCCGGTTTGTGTGACCCTCAGGGTAAATCCAGAGGGTGAAATGAGATTCAAATACTGCACACACAAAATGATCTAGCACAGTAACTCTAAGGCTGTCATATACAAGCAGGGTTCCTGCACCTTTAGCTAACCCTAACCCACCTCACTCCTCCAAAATCCTCCTGGCGGTTTTGGAGGATTCTAGAGGATTGAGGATGAATGGTGATTGAATCAAATGAGGATTCTGGAGGATTGAGGATGAATGGTGATTGAAGCACATGAGGATTTTGGAGGATTGAGGATGAATGGTGATTGAACTTTGAAGCACAAGAGGATTTTGGAGGATTGAGGATGAATGCATTTTGAGGCAGGACTGTCTGATGATTTTGAAGGATTTGGCGTTCGTTATCCTTCATTTAAACATGAGTGCAAAGTTTTGGGATGAGGAGGATTTTGGAGGATTGAGGATGAATGCCTTTTGAGGCAGGACTGTCTGACAATTTTGAAAAATTTAGGCGGAGTTGCAAAATTTTGGAGGATTGAGGATGGTTGTAAGCAACAAGGGCCTAGGGGGTTAGGGTTTTAAGACAATATAATTCCATGGCTTTTCCATGACCGAATCACGACAATCCATGACCTACCGGTACATGTTTAATCAAAATACAGATCCAAACTGTAAAACTTGTTCCGTGAAAAGGGCTCAACAAAAGCAGAAAAACAACAAAACAAAGCAATATGCCTACTGTTTTTCGAAATTAAAAATGTGAAACTCGGTTAAAAAATAACACTTTTTTTTTTTCTTAGCCAAGTCCATCAAACCGTGGAATTGCCCCCACATGTACCATCAGCATAAAAAAAAGATATGTAGTACCTACGTGTACAGTACATGTACATACAGCGTGAATTTAGGATGAAATACGGACTCACTGGTAAGTATTGCGCATGCATTTAATTCAGGCGATTCACAATGTAGTGCGCCACCAAGAGTTCGTCAGGGAGAGTTAATTTTTCCCAGTGCATTGTGGGAGATGGGCGACAAATTCGCAGCGTGGGACATTTGAAATTGTTAGTTTTTTCAGTCAGTAGTTTCATAAGCGTATGATTCGAGTATACATGTATGTAAGGCCAAAAAAAAAAAGTCTCCCGTTTCTGGAATGGAGCTTGCCCCAAAAGTGGTGCGGCGACACAGCTTTTTTTTTTTCACTTTTTTTTTCTTCAAATTTTGCCTGATGACTGCAAATGGTGCCCAACTAAATTTAGTGCAAAATGTATGGGAGCCCAGAGAGGCCACATAAAGCTTATACTCGATCATAACCCCATCTATAAACATGTTAAAATTGTGCAGCAGCAGGATTTCAGTCAAACCAGTGAGTTTGGCGGTTTTGAGACATCATCTTACATTGAAAAATAAACTTTTTAATTTTGCCGACGGTCATGGCTACGGCGACGCGCGCGCAGACCAGAAACCAGAACCTTTTGGGGGGGGGGGGGGGAGGGGGGGGGAGGGCCTAAGTTTGCCTCTTCTTTTTTTTATCAATATGGTGTTTTTTGTAAGGCAGCAGAACGATGTGCCCCAATCTATAATAAATGGGCCGTAAACATGAAAAATGGACCCTCCATGGCAAACTCTTGGCATGCTTGGTGGCGCACTGCATTGTGAATCGCCCAAATTAGGAGAGTGACAGGTCACGTGAGAGGGTTAACCAATAATAGGGTAAAGAAGTCCAATTTTCACAGAAGTTTGATTAACATACATGTATGACACCGGCATTAAATACACTAATAAACAATGTACGTGATTACATGCCTCTATTGAAAAATGGCGCTTCTTGGTACACGTGTACGCAAGACAATTGCCTGTAGTACATGTATGTGATCAACATTAACATGTTCCAATAGACCAGGAAACACAAGAAAAGGCTGAGGTTTAGCTACGTATTTATTTATGTACATGACCTGTGGTTCTACCGGTACACGCACAAACAAAATTCACTAAATACTCATTACTGCTTGCCTCTTTATTGAAGAAAGATGCTCCTCGCGAGAAAGATGACAGCTAATTCCGTAGCTGGAGACCAACAATGTACTGGTACCAAAGGACAAAACACAAAGACGGCAGAGGTTTAATTTGCGCATTTGGTTCCACCGGCCCGGAAATTGAAGCACACCCATGAACTAAGGCTACGTGTATACATGCATCTTTCATTAAAAAAAATAACACTAGCCACACTCCACGACGGAATATCGACAATAAACGACCTTGAAGATGAAGCGCTTGCCTTTACGTTGCTAGGTTACCAAACAGCCTGCAAATATCCGTTTGTTTTATTTTTCTTCTTTTTTTTTTTTTTAAACTGCGTTTCCCTCCTTCACAATACCGACACCCCTGCTCAAGCAGAACTAATCGGAAATTGCAAATACTCGGGGTTGCTGTATACGTCGGCAATGAGCTACATGTACACGTGCAATATTGATGGGTAGTTGAGGCTGCTCTATTGTTACGAAACCAGGTTGAAGTCGTCGATTAAACAAAAGGCTGGCATCTCTTCAAATATGAAGGTTTCAACAAAAAAAAGGTCAAGCCAACAATATGGTCTGTTGCCTTGGAAACGAAACAGGGATGAAAGACAAAAGGCTTCTGTGAGGACCTACAATGTACACAGCTGTTGTTGTCGGTCTGTGTTTTGAATTTTACGTAAATACCACGATGATGCGCAAAACCTAAACTGCATCACAGCTCACCCAAATGAGAATAATACATCTTTAACTGTTATTTTTTTTGGGGGGGGATAAACATTTTAAACATTCAACAAGATTCCCTGTAATATTACACTGGAAATGTACCTGGGAATGAGGTATCATGTCGTGATAATTTTTCACTAGAGATGAAAGCATGCGCACAAATTAATATCTTGTATTTGTTTTGTTTTTATGTCTTTGTTTGTTTTCTATCCTCTTTCATTTTTTTGTTTTTAATTATTTTGGGGTTTTTTTTGTTTTAAATGTTGGTTTCAAATGTACACATCCGGCATATGGCCACAGAAGTTGCTTCTGCTTCAGTACTGCGTAAACACCCTCTAGAGGGTTATAAACACGCATTTTGTTGTACCTTCATGTACATTGTATACTGTAATAATCCTCTATGTACCGGTACATGTACGTAGGAGTGAAATTTTGAATTATTTACTCCTACCGGTACATGTATTATCACCTGCATTCTTTTTTATTGGTCATGCATTATTAGGCCCCAAAAAAATTAATATTTGGTCTCTGGTCAGACCAAAGTTCCGGAAGTGACGTGGCCACGCGGCTTTTTTTTTTTTTTTTTTTTGCTTTTTTTTCTTTTTCTTCTAGCTTGGATTGTACAGACAAGGTGGGGGTACTATTTTGCTTTTTTGGTGTCCTCATGTACATTGGTGTCCTCCATAATTTGCCTTGGTGCCCTCGATCATTTGCCTTGGTGCAATTTCCCATTCCTTGGTGCTCTTTGGTAAAAAAAAATGAGGAGGTGCGGAAATAGAGGGCGCTGTTGGAGCTACCGCGGAACATTTTGGAAAAAAAAAAGATCGACGCGCATGATTAAAATCGACGCGCGCGCTGACCAGAGACCAACTTTTTTTTTTTTTGGCCTTATATTAAGCACATGAGGTACATGTACCGGTAACGATTGACAAACTGTACAAAAAGCGCTGACATTTATTTTACCTGTATTACCCATCATATAATGTTCAGGCAGATGTTTCAATCAGGAATGGCATTAAATGTGATTGTGAATGTGAGCGTACATTGTACATGTACATACATACATTTACATCACAAAGCAAAATCTGCCAAATACAAATGTAGCATTGAAAAACAAAGACCACAATGATAATCATCCATGAAATTTCCACACAGCAATCGGCAAATTACACTGCACATTGTCCAATGCACGTACCGTGTAGTGCTGTGCACTTTAAAATCATTTCTTTTATCCCAACTTGGACTGATTTCGAAACGCACTGATTAAAGATAGCATCTGCCAAGCAGCCTAAAGTGGCCGCCCATCAGGATTTGCGTGCACCTGCCCTTGTCGAAAAATGGGCATAGAACCTATTAACCCTAACGTCTTATGAACTCTAACGTCTTATGAACCCTAACTTCCATCTTATGAACCCTAACATCCTAGCCATCACTTTGGGATAAAGAACTGAGTACTACAGAATACTACAAAAATTATGTATGCAGGCGCAAATCTTCAAAAAAAGGAATTGTTTACGTCATACTCGAGAGCTGGACACTCCATTATAGCTAAAGGGGTGTT